CAAACCCCCCCCCCCCCCAGGCGCATGGACAAGCTCACACCCAGGCAGACACGAAGGCAGGCCGGCTATCGTCGAGAGTATCAAACGCGCGCAGCAGCATTCTCACCGAACGTGTGTGAGAAGGGCGCGTGTACTGACTGAAAAAACCATGCACTGGTCTGGTCTTGTGTGTCGTTGCATCTCCCTCCCTCCCTCGTGTGTGTCGCACATCACTTCGCTTCGCATTTATGACCATTGTGTGATCTACCATAGCAGAAGAGTAAGGGGTGGAGGGGTGGGGGGTTGGGGAAAGTGCCCATTCCATTCGCCCACCAGCTGGCTCTGAACGCAAAAACAATCTGGCAGTGAGTTGAGGTGAGGTGCAGTGGATGGGCTGACTACGGTGGCAGGAAGGCAGCAGGGTGGCGTGGTAGTTTGTACACATCCGTCTGTCATACAGCAGAGATCGATCCCAAATCCGAAAGAAAGACAAGAGAGCGGAAAAATCGCCTTCCTTCCCGAAACTTCGTCCGTCCCTCGCTCCCTCCCTCGCTTTCTCTCTGTGTGGTACATCTCATCTCGCAGAGTATTTCTCATCACCCCGACAAACCCTCCCCCCACCACACCCCAAGCCCCATATACACCGACTGCATTGGACGTCTATCTATCCATCTATGCGGCGACAAGTTCCTTGGTGGGTTTGGCCTCCTTCTCGCCTGCGCCGTATCCCGAGACGATGCGCATGAAGTCCTCGCCGTTCATGATTTCCTCCTCCACCAGCCGCCGCGATACCTCGTCGAGGAGGGAGCGGTTGTCCTGCAGCAGCCGCTTGGCCTTCTCGTACGCGCTGTTCACCAGCTCACGGACCTCATCGTCCACCGCCTCCTTGGTCCTCTGATCGATCGCATCACATACATCACCATCACAGACGGCCGACGGGTCTGAGGTGCGTGTGGAGGGTGGGTAGTCAGGCTCTTGTTTGTACCTGTGACGTCTCGAGGAATGGCGCGGTCCCCTGTCGCATCATAGCGTCTTCGACGTTGAGCTGACCGACCTTATCGTTCATGCCATACTGCGTCACCATACTGACAGACGGGGACAACACACAGATGTGGTCACACTTGATCAGGTGGGTTCCAAGTCGCTCCATCATGTGTCTGCCTCCTACCCTACCTTCTTGCGATGCGGGTCACTTGCTGCAGGTCATTGCTGGCGCCTGTGGTGACATGCTCGCGGCCGTAGACGACCTCCTCAGCAGCGCGACCGCCCAGCGCAACAGCAAGCTGGTTCTGGAGGTAGTCCACGCTGAGCAAACACGATACACATACCAACCGTTCCGTGAGGGGCAATCACCACCGGTGAGTGAGACTTTTCCGGCTGTGCGGATCGATCTCCCTCCCCGACTCACCTGTACATGCCACTGGTGAGTCGCTCCTCGCTGGGGAGGTAGAAGGTGGCGCCGCCCGCGCCGCCTGTGCGGGGGATGATGGAGATCTTCTGCACGGCGTCGTAGCCCGGCAAGAAGGCGCCGACGAGGGCGTGGCCCGCCTCGTGGTAGGCAGTGAGAGTCTTGACGCGGTCCGACTGGAGCCGGTTGGTCTTCTCCGAGCCCAACATAATGCGGTCCAGGGCTGCATCGATGTCCTCGGTGTCGATCTTCTCCTTGCCCTGATCAGACCAGATGAGAAAGGCCAAAGGAGAGGAATGTGTGGTTGCGGGTGGCTGGCTGTGTGGGGTGGGTGCCTCTTGCCTGCCGCCCTTACCTTCCTGGCGGCGAAGATGGCTGCCTCGTTCATGAGGTTCTCAAGCGAGGCTCCGCTGAAGCCGGTGGTCCTCCTGGCGACGGCGTCGAGGTCCACATCGCCGATGGGCTTGCCCTTGACGTACACATCCAAAATGGCACGGCGAGCCTGACCACCCGATACAACACAACACAACACACCACGTCCATCGCATCACAAGACGGACAGAGATGAGCGCGCCTTATCGCCTCAACCCACCGGCAGGTCAGGGAGGTTGATGGCGACGCGTCTGTCGAAGCGACCAGGTCGGAGAAGGGCCTCATCCAAGATGTCGGCACGATTGGTGGCGGCAATCACGACTACACCCTGGTTGCCGGAGAATCCGTCCATTTCGGCGAGCAGCTGGTTGAGTGTCTGCTCTCTCTCGTCGTTCTGCGGCATGAAGCCTCCCGAGGACCGTGCGCGGCCGATGGAGTCGATCTCATCGATGAAGATGATGCAGGGCGCAACCTTCTTGGCCTTCTCGAACAAATCACGCACGCGGCTGGCACCGATACCGACGAACACCTGAACACCAGAACGACACACGGGACGGCCGGTGATTGATGTGTCAGTGCGTGAGTGTTCGGCACAATTGGCTCACCTCAACGAAGTTGGATCCCGACTGTGAGAAGAAGGGCACGCCCGCCTCGCCGGCCACGGCCTTGGCCATCAGGGTCTTACCAGTACCTGAATGAACGCAACCGATCACGTGTGTGTGATAGTGCCGTTCTCGTGAGAGTGCTTCGCATGGTCACTGACCTGGGGGTCCCTCCATGATGACGCCCTTGGGTATCTTGGCGCCGAGTTTGGTGAACTGCTGGGGGTTCTTGAGGAAGGTCACCACCTCGCCGAGCTCCGTCTTGGCCTCATCCTGACCGGCGACCTGGTCAAACGTCACACCTGGGCACATGCACACCACCAACACACGTAGACGTGAGATGCACTGGGACATCAGACACCACGCCCTTCCCGCTTCTGTTAGTCACCAGTGTTCGGGTTCATGTCAATCTTGGCCTGGCTGCGTCCGAATCCGCCGAGAGGGTTGCCACCAGGGCCACCGGGGCCGCCCATGCCGCCGCGGGAGCCCAGGAAGAAGAGTGAGCCGAGCAGCAGCCATGGCAGGAGGTTGGCAATGAAACCCAGAAGGTTGGGCGTCTGCTGCACTGGCCGCACGGCAAACTCCACTTTGTTGTCGCGGAGAGTCTTCAGAAGATCGGGGTCATTCGGGATGCCCTCCAACAGATACCTGCAGGGGAAGACGACGAGAAGAGCACATGAGCGGAAAAGGAGGATGGGTCAGTGTGTGTGATATGCTCACCTCTCTCCCTCAGTGTCGATGGCCGTCAGACTACGGCCGTCGGCGGAGAACAGGACGCTCTCGATCTGCTTCTGCTCCACCTTGTCGAGGAACTGGCTGTAGCTGCGGAGCAGCTCATCAGCCGACGCAGCCTGCATCGACCACAAGGACACCAAAGAGAAGAGACATTACAGTGAGCCCTCTCGTGCCCACGCCGGTGCATAGGACCCCTGTCTACACCACCCCTCCCACCTGTGGCTGCGTGGGGAGCATCATGCCTCCCGCAAGGATCGGGATGAAGGCCTTGAGCGCATCCTGTGCTCCTTTGAATGCGTTGTTGTCTCCGCTGTCAGCCATCATCAAGGGCATCCTCTCGTCCACAAGAGGGCGCGAAACACTGCCGGCACGCCCATGGTTCCTAATGACGGCCTGCAGGCCACCTCCAGAGATAAACGCGGGGGACGGGGAGGTGATGACGCGGCCGAGGGCGTTGCCCGTCAGCGCAAGCCAAGCGAACCCGAACACAGCGAGGGCGAAGGTAGACGATGAGCGCTTCATTGTCAGAGAAGAGGGAAGCAAGAGGAAGATCTGCTCGGGCTGAAGTCGTTGCGGATCTGTCGCCGCGGTAAAGGCTGTCTACAAAAGCCTCGTGTCTACCCTGCACCCCTCCTTCGTCGGTCTTCTTTTTCAGGGTTTGGAGTACCAGTGATCGAAATTTGTGGGATGACCCCTCCTTGGCAAATCACCCTACCAACCTCAGTGCCACTCGGAACGCCTTGCAGTGGTCACGGGGAATATGTGCGACGAAGAATAAGAATCGAAGTGAGGCACAGGTCGCGAGCTCGAGCTTGCAAATGGCCCCCGTGGCCCCCAGTCTCGAAAAAAGTCGATTGTCTTCGCTTCCCCACTTTCCGTAGTCAGGACTGCCCCGAGGACATCGAGAGAATCCGGCGAGTCCGTCAACGAGCTCACGGAGGCGCGGCCTTGCATTGGCCGCAACCTCCCACTGCCCGTGTTGTTTCTGCTGCACATCGTAGGACCTGTTCTATCGTACCCCTCCCGACGCGGCGTGTGCCTGAGGGACAACCAGAGAGCCTCAGGACTGTGGTTGACCCCTCTTCTCGTGCACGGCCCCCCTTGTCGGCTTCGTGTTCTTTCCTTGGCGTCGCTGAAGCTTACAAAGCGTGAGCCGCAATCAGCGTGTTTTCAGCTTCCTATTGCTACTTCCCAGCCCGGTGCTTGGAGGACAACCGGTTGTGACTTGCGGAGAAAGCCCCCTCCCTCTTTCGCCCGTGGAAAGGCGCCGCCCTGTCTTACACGAGTGTCTTCCACAATTCCCTGTGCTGAGAAGCGATGAGCCGGGAGATAGAGTCTGACTACAGCCCCGTGTCCGACCGCCAGTCGTCGGCCTCCCAGCTCCCTGGTGGCGAGGAGGATCCCCCTGTGCCCTCGTTCGGCGCCCAAGTGATCGGCAAGACACTGTCGAAGCAGCTTGAGGACCAAGGGGAAGAGGGCGACGAGCGGGGCGGTGAGGGCGACGACGAAGGCGACGAGGAAGAGGAGGAGGAAGAGGAAGAAGAAGAAGAGGAGGAGGAAGAGGAGGAAGGTGAAGAATACGAGGAACGTGAGGTGGCTGAGGAGGATACTTATGGAGTCGTCCAACAACCAGCAGAGTGTGTCGAGCAGCAAGAAGAGCTGGTCGTGATGGGCGTTGAGGCCGAGGCCGAGGCTGAGGGTGCTGAGGGTGCTGAGGGTGCTGAGGGTGCTGAGGGTGAGGGTGGCGAGCCCGAGGACCAGGATGTCCGCGAGCCCGTCTCGAAGCAGCTGTCGCAGACGCCATCCCAGCTCGGGGGCGGCCCCGTACCGGCCGCCATGGAGGAGCAGCCCCAGGGCACTTTCCAGCAGCCACCCAGCGGCCAGATAAGCAAGAAGTCGACCCAGCGCGAGGACGCCTCACCCCTCGGCCGCCAGCGCAGCCAGCGGAGCGAAGAGAGGGAGAGTGTCGATCGCGAGCTTGATGACTTGGCCGGCATTGGGGAGGAGGGCGAGGAAGAAGAATATGAAGACGAGGAAGAGGAAGAGGAGGAGGCGCCGCCACCGCAGTTCGGCCAACCTGCTCAAGACAGGGGCGAAGAAGGTGAGGTGAAAAGCAAGCAATCCATTCACACAGACTCCCAACGACTGTCACTGTCTGTTGGCTGCTGTGCTGGCCTTGTTCTCTCTCCAGAGGAGGAAGAGGAAGGTGCCTCCCACACACATTGAAGAGCCGCACCAGGCAGAGGCGCACTCGGCATGTCTCGCCTCTGTTGTGTCTGTGTTGTGCTCAGAGGAGGAAGAGGAGGAGGGCGAGGAAGAAGAGGAAGAGGGTACGGCACTTGATCACATCCCACCACACTCGCGATGCATTGCTGGCTATTCCATGCCTCGCAACAGAGGAGGAAGAGGAGGAGGAAGCCGAGGAGCCCGAAGACCGTGAGCTGGAGGACCTCTTTGAGTTTGCTGACAGAGAGGTGGGTTGATCTGATCGCACAGGATGGGTCTCACCTGGCCGGTCACCCACTCACTCACTGGCTGGATGACCGTGTGGGCGTAGGATGAGGAGTTGGAGGAGGACCGTCGTGTGGTGATGGAGCGCATCGAGGAGCTGAGGAATCAGATCATCCTGAGCGACATCCAGCCGTACGTTGAGGAGTTCGACGAGGCCGTTGACAAGGATACACTGCTCATCGGCAAGCTGCCGATCGAAGCCATCCAGGTACATATGGCGTCCGCCCACTCTATCTAGGCACACCTGGGAGGTTTGCTGTAACGTATTGTGTATCAATCACAGGAGGAGGAGCGACGTTTGGAGGAGCAGCAGCTCAAGGCCTACCAAGAGCTCGCCAAAGCACACCAGGCACGGCTCGCACGAACCGCACACAAACACACAGGAATGCACACGGCCATACATGCTCATGCGTTGCGTTGCAGGAGCGAGCTGCGGAGGTGTTGCGTGCTGAGCATGCTGCTCGCCAGCGGCTCAACAAAGAGGCACTCGACCTGGAACTCAAGTCAGTCGGCCACACATGCACAGAGAGAGAGAGACATGACCGATGGGCTCACATGTAGATGTCTGATCGCGTGCTTTGCTCCTTCCATGCTGCAGAGTCCGAAAGCGAGAGCTGCGAGCCATCGAGCGCGACAGGACCCGCAGGGTCAGTGCACGACACACGCATTCAACCAGAGCGAAGACGCAAGATTGAGCTATCCGTCTCTCGCTCTTCTGCCTGCCAGGCTCGTTTGAACAAGGCGTTCCGTCGGGCAGAGTATCGTTTGGACACGGTGCTGCGGAATCGTCAGGCGGAGATACAGAGCAAGTACGGCAACCTGGAGGTCGACGAGGACTACAAGAGCTTCAAAAAGGGAAAGTAAACATGACACAAAGCCAGAGAGTGATGGACGTCGATAGATACCCATGGGATGGTCATTCATCATCAGAGTCCCGGTCGCCCGTGCAAAGCGTTATAGAATTGACTGGAACCGGGCCCCACAGGTGCGCGAAGGAAACAGGCAGGAAGGACTCGCTCTCATGCCACACTTGTCTTCTCTGTGTCTCGATTATGTGTGTGTGTGTGTGTGTGTGTGTCAGCCCATCGAGCTGCGTCTTGAAGTATGTCGTGCGGTCAAGGACAAGCTGCCGAGGGGCCAGTATGTGCTTATGTGCTCACTCTACGACAGGTACGTGAGTGCACACACGAATGGGCAGTCACCTGTATGTCCATGCCTGTCTGCATTGGCGGGGACACACAGGATTGGCGGCAGTCGTCTGGCGTGGAGCAATGTGGAGGGCGGCACTGAGTTCCTCACCAGTGTGTCATCACCGGTGAATCATGGAGGAAAGTACTTCGAACCGGTGAGCAGACGAACAGGGCCGATACAAGAGCAGCAGGCACTCTCTGGTTGTGCCTGTGTCCGCAGGATTTGCGCTTCGAGCAGAGCATCTTCGTTGCGGCACCGGGCAAAGTGGACCTCAAACCCTCGATGGTGTTTATTTTCGAGATGTACATACTGCGCGGCAAGGCTTCTCCGACCGACAAAGTGGTGGCCTGGGCTCCATTCCCACTCATGAACTCTGACTTTCAAATCATCGAAGGCAAATTCAAAGTAACCACAAACAAACAATCAGGACACGGAGGGAAATGTCAGTAATGTCTCTGTCTCTGTCATTCCTTCATTCACTCATTCATCAGGTGCCGATGCTGCGCGGTGAGGTGGATCCCTACATCGACAAGTTCGGCACGTACGAGGACATGTACTCGGCCAACATCGACGAGTGGCTCTGCAACCTCTACTTCCAGACGCTCCTCCTGCCCAAATACCAAGCCGGAGAAGTTGAATTTGAAGTCGAACTCGACTACACAGGCAAGGCAACCACATTGAATGACGCACTCACACAATAAAATGACACATCCTTCCTCCCCTTCTCAGGTCGTCTATTGAAATTGGGCAAGCCCCAGCGACGTCGCCGCAAGCGCAAGAGCCGTCGTGAGTCGGAACAGCCGCTGCTGACTACCGACACCGAGGAGGAGGGCTTCCCTCGGCAGCTGCCCGATACTGAACAGCCACTCGCTATCGCAGACGCATCGCCCGGAGGAGCCAATGGCGGCTCCCAGCCAGGGTCACCTGTGGGTGACAATAACAAGGTCATTCGTGGTGAGCCCAGCCCCACCAAGGCCAGGCGCCGCCGCCGCAAGAGTGACAGGGAGGACATGGACGTCACGGAGGAGGACAGTCCCTTTGTGCTCGACCCTGAAAAGGAGAAGAAGGCCGCCAGACGCATTGTCAGTGATGCTGTCGGCGAGCTCAAGGTAAGAGCGCAGAGTTCAGAGACAGAAGCGGCTCGTGTTTCATGATGCGTCTGGTTGTGTCAGACCGTTCGGATAACGACAGTGGGGGGTGAGGAGGGCGAGCCGTCTGTGTCCTTCGCAGGAGACGACAGACGACCCAGCCAGGGGCCAGGTGAGGAAGACACGCACAGCGCAAGCTAAGGCGGCAGCGCCTCTCATCTCCTGTGTTCCCTGTCCTCCTATCAGCTATTCGTGATCGTTCGGCCTCTCGCTCTCCCTCAATGCGCGGCGGCATGTTGAACAATAATACTGGCAACAACAATGCCAACCTGCTAGGTCTTGCCGACGAGGGGGCATCGCCCACTGCGATCCGTAAGGCCAGTGTGTCCACCACCAAGTCGGTCACCATCGCTGGCCTCGACAAGGCCAAGACCAGCGATGAGAACCTCTTCGCTGACAACTATGACAGTGAGTGCCGGCACAAAGAGAAAGTGTATAAGCATGCACAGTCTCAATGCTTGCAGATCCCGATCCTGAGGACATCGAGCGCGTTGAGAAGGAGAGCGAGTTGGCAGTGATTGCACAGCAGCGAATCGAAAACGTCAAGGCCATGATGCATGGTCAGTAGCAAAGCAGACTTAATACGTCAAATATGGTGTCTCTGATCTGACTGCCCCGCCCTGTGCATTCAGGTCATTTGCCTGAGCGCAATTTCCCGCCCCTCCGCACCGCCGACCAGATGGATGCCTACCACTATGTCGTCACCATGGGCGAGCTCAAAACGGGACAGGTCAGCCATCTGTCTGTTAGCAGAGTGGGAGGATGTATTTGCGTGTCTTGGTTGTGCAGTTGACATTGAAGAAGTGGCGTTATTTGAGCGACGAGGTGTTCAGCGAGATCCACCCGTCCAAGTGGAAGACGGGCATCTACTGGCTGGCCATCGTCACACTCATCGTCGCCGGGCTCCTGCGGATCTACCTCAAGGGAGCCGGACAGTGGCTCTTCCTCAAGACATGCAGGTGCATACATGAGGGAGGGAGCACAGGGCGCAAGGGACAGGCCTGCATTCTTGTGTGTGTATATGTGTTCTTGTACAGGGTCCCCGTGTACAACTTCGATGCGAGCCAGCAGCCTCTCAGAGTTCGCGTCGACTACACACAGGTAAGACACCAGAGACATGTCGTGGATGAGAAAAGGGCATCTCGCCTCCCCTGTGTGGCTGTCTGCATGCAGGACAATGTTAGCTCCCCCGTCGAGGTCGGCGTGGTGGTGTCGGGCGTGCTGATCAACGTAGTCTTCTTCCTGTTCCTCATGCTGGTGGCCTTCTGCTCGAACAAGTTCCTTGGCCGCTTCCCCGCCGCCTGCTACCGTTTCATCTCCGCCTTCGGGCTCTTGTGCTCGATCGACCCCATCCTGACCCTCGTAGTGGACCTCATCTGGTGGGAAACCAGACACGGCGACGCCTTCAAACTGGGCACGTGGTTCGAGCGGCGGGAGGGGGACGGGCTCATCGGCCACGTCATCACTGTGTTCCTCAACCTGGCCCTCATGGCCATGATCCTCTTCATCTACTACATCTACCTCGTCTCACTGCACATGAACGGCAGGTTGCTAGACGTCTACAACCGCATCACGGGAGAACTCGCCGCATTCTTCATCCCATTCGATGCTGAAATATCCGGTGAGAGAGGGAACGGGGGACACTCCAGACACTCAGAAGGCTGTCGACATGTCTCGCTCGTTTTGTGTTTTGTGGTGCCTTCAGAGCGTCAGCTTCGGTGGATATGTTTGAAGTCCCGTCAGTGGCAGGGCATCACCGGAGAGGCCAGGAAGATCAACGTCACCGACTACGCCATCAAAGACCCTGAAGACCCGGTAACTAAGACGATTCACAGCCTGATGCAGACGATTGATCGATCGATCGATGTCTCTCCCCTGTCTGTGTGTGGTCACGTATAGACATTCGAGGAGGTGACGACGCACATCGCAATCTTTACCGTCAGCAAAGACAAGACAAGGACTCTATACCGACACTTCCTCAAGCTGCCTGAGGGGGCCATCCTCGAGATGCCGCCAGACAGGGCCCATGACGCCGGCCTTGCACCCGACAGCGCATTCCTGCAGAAGATGCTTGGCACTACGGGAGACGACGGCAGCCCCACAAGACTCTCTGATCGGTCCGTCAAAACCGGCTCACCAACGACGCGGTCTCGTCGACAGTCACGCCGAGAGTCGAGGGCATCCCGCATCGCTTCCCGCAAGGAGTCCCTCGCTGCCAGTCGCCGGCCATCAGAAGCTCCATCGAGAATTGGAGACGAGCGCAAGGCATCCTTCGCAGCGTCACAAGTCGATAGTGAAGCCAGGCGGTCGTCACTGAAGGAGAGCGGCATCCACCCGGACAGGCCCGCGGAGAGAGTGGTAGAGATAAGGCAGAGGTACGGCGGCTTGGACGAGTTTGTTGACACTTGACGAGTTTGTTCAACCAACTTTGTTGTTATCATGATCAGATCGATTGACGACACCTTCGACATCTGATGGAGGGAGAGCATGCTCTGTGCATGCATGCAGTATGCAGCATCGATTAATTGCTGTTTTTTGAATCGCGCCAAGACAAGAAGGGGTGGCTGCGTGCATGTGATGTATCCGTGGGTATGTGAGCGAGTGAGTGCAAAGATGTACAAAGGTCTGGCTGCCTTGTGTGTGCGTTCGTGCTTGCGTGTTCCAATGGAGGGTGTGAGTATCGGGGAAGAACGCCACCCGTCGGCTCATGGATGCGTGTGCTTTGCGTGTCTTGTCTTCCCTTTGCCTTGCTCCTCTCTGACTAGCCTTCCTTTCTCCCTGTCTGCTTTGCGTGATTCCCTTGCAGCCATGTTTCATTGCTGATACATGACTGCGTCTGGGAGTGCATGCATCCATGCCTTTGACCTCGACAGCTTTGGAACATCGTGCGCACGAAAGGACAGAAGGTTCGATCGGGTCGACACAGAATGATCAGCTCGCATGTCCGTCCGTCCGTCCATACATATGGTCGTTCATATGTACACCAACACAACACCAACACAACACCCCCACCTATATGGCAATTAGCTTCTGGGTGGTGGCGACCATCTCTTGCCCTTCGTCAGCTCTGCCACAAGCCCCTCTAGATATGGCGACACTTCCGGCGGATAGGCACCCAAGTGCCGCAGCAACGCCAGCACTTCCTCGTCCCTCAGACCTCTCAGCCACTCGTCCAGCTCACCCACATCGATATCAGCATCTGCCGCCTCTCCCCCGATCCGCCCATCGCCATCGCCCGTGCCGTGCATCATGTCCCTCTGCATCTGCTGGTGCCGCCACGCGTGCATGAGGCTGACACACTGGTCGCGCCTGCCATCGTCAAGCTGAGCCGGGCAGAACATGCCATAGATGCGGAGAGGGTGGTTAAGGGTCGATGGGATAAAGTCCCGATAGTAAGAAAGCCGTCGCCTCAAACCCTGCGCACATACATGCACCCGTGGCCACCTTTATCGGTGCGTTCGTTCGGCTATTCTATTTCGTGGTTACCGTCTGTTGCACTCACCTTGGGAATGACGCGGAAGCGCTCCCTGAAGAGTTGACTTGCCGAAAGGCCCTTGAGGGTCGGCGTGCGGTTGCGGTTCTCCAACATCCATACGCGACCAAGCACGTACTTGACCCACTCAATGCCCATCCAGACGGCCCTGATATGCACACACACATGCGACCGACGAACGAAAAAGGTAGTAGGTGTACAGTACATCCAATCCATGTGCCCACCTGGGGACTCCCGTTTCGATCTCCTCTCCATCGGCATCACCCCTCGCCGCAGCAGACGCACTCTCCCCGTCCCCTTCCTCGCCCTCGCCCTCGCCATCCTCCTCCCCCGCATCAGCCACTCGCGGCAGCTTCATTTTGGGCGCCTTGGTGCCACGCGAGCCACAGTCGTATACCAGACACACGTTGCCGAGAGCGAGCTGCATGAGGAGGTTGTGATCAAGATTCTCGAGCAGAGCCAGGTAGGCCTGGATCTCGCAGTGGGACGACTGCAGCCGCATGAAGTGAATGTCGCTGGCGGGGATGCCCAGCGCACTCAGACGAGGAAGCACCTGAGTGAGTGAGGACACACCGCGAGAGAAGGTGTACACAGCCGCCGTGTCGTGTCTTTGTGTTTCTCACCTCAATGCCGTTTGTGAGGTTGATGAAGTGCCGCACTCGCTTCATGAGGAAGCGGCACTGATGCGGATGCACCTCCATCCGCTCATCGTCACCTCGCCAGAGCCTCAGCGTCGCCCCATTGTTTGTCTTGTCAATCAGCCCGGCTGACTCATCCTCAGCAATCGACTTAGTTGGATGTGGCTTGTCCACCTCGAGTGCAGATGCTCCTTGCGTCATGCGGAAGCCTGCAGCCTCTCGCCATGGTCGCTTCCGCCCCTTTCGCTGCCTGGCGAGAGGTGTGGGCATGAATACGGGCCCTCGTCGAGGCCTTCTGCCGTCCGTAGCACACCCCGCAGCTCCAGATAAAGCAGCGGAAACAGCGGCAAGAGCAAGATCTGCGTTCCACAAGGAGCACGCCAGGGAGAGCATCGATGTCAGCCAGATCATCGAGGAGGGGGAAGGCACGAACGAGCGATCCCGCGAGCTTCAAACGGATCGAACTCATCGTCCTTTTCATTTGACGCGCATAACTTGGTTGCTTTGTCTGTCTGTCTGTCTCATTCATTCGCATACACACATACAGCCAGTGAACAGTGCACACTGACGTTTGACACACGCGAATACATAAATTAAGGAAGGATTCTACCTACCTTGCAACACGTATGGATGGATGGATGGATGCAGCTCTGCATCGACCGCTCAGCTCTCTCCCTCTCTCTATGTGCCTGGCCTGCCTGATCTATCTTATCTGTCTGTTCACACCCCCTGTATGGTGTCTGCCCCCTGCTGCACCTCCTTCCACTTCATGGCGTTAAGGTCGGCCGCCAGCTTGAGCAACTCGTCTGCCTCCTTCTTGTCACCACCGCCACCTGACGGCACACTCACCTTCTCACCCCGCTGCACCACCTCACCTGACCAAGCACAGCCCCACACTAGTCACTCTCTCCGGCTGTCATGTCTGTGCATTTCTGTCTCGTCACTCACCTGCCGCATCCTGCTTTTCCCCCTGCGCAGCAGCAGCTGCCTTTGCCTTGGTGGCTCCCTTGGTCGCAGTGGAGGCAGCCACAACGCGTTCTGAGGCACACCACAAAGGTACAAATGTGTTGATCCTCGGCAAGCATCTTCGCGGACCTCCGGATGAAGCGACAGTGTTCTTGGTGCCCTTGGGCGGCTTGGCGGGCGGTGCCGACTGCGAGAGACTCTTTCTGCATCCACACATCATGCAGAGACATTGGTTGGGAAAGTATGGACTCTGTTGCGTCTGTGTATGACTCTTGTTGGCTTGGGGGTGGCGCTGCCGGTGCGGCAGCGGACTTGGCCTTGGTGTTGCGACTTGACTTGATGGACGTGTTGGCACTCCTACTGCACAAGAAAGGCAAGTGGCCCAAGGTTGGCCATATACTCACTTATGCGTTGCCTTGCTTACGCGGACTGCTGGACAGCCAAAGCACCTTCAAGCTCCTCATACGCTGCCACAAGTCAGTCGAGACACTTATGGGGTGGTCTCTGCCTCAAGTCTCAATGAGCGTGTGTGGCTGACTGATTTACTGACCAGCCCTCTGCCTCTGCTGTGTGTGCTGCAGCCGCTGGATGAGCTCCAGCTCCTCCTTCTCCATCATCGCTATCTGCGCCTCCTTTAATCGCTGACCGACACGTGTCCTCGAGTCTATGTGTTGGTTGACCGCCCGCCGACCTGCCTACCTGCAGGTCATCCTCCCGCTGCAGCTTCTCCTGGAAGTGCTTGCGAGCCAACGTACGGCGATGCTCCTGCATGCGAGACACCATCAGGCACAGTGGTGTCTCTCTTGCCTTAGCCTTGTCTGCCTCCCTCCCTGGTCTTATTTACGTCTTCTCGCTTCCGACGTTCCTTCATTTCTTGCTCGCTCTGTCGAATCTTGTCCTTGCGGGCCACCAGGAACTCCTCCTCCTGCCGACGGGCCTCAGCCAGCTCCTTCTCCGTCTCCTGTAGTAGTAGGTAGAAACATGCGTATCGTATCACACATACACATATTCCCTCTGCGTGCGTGTGATCGCTGAAATAGCGACCGACCTTTCGCTGAGCGTAATAGTCGCTGATGCCCTCGATCTTTTGCAGTCGATGCTGCTCCAACCGTTCTCTGCAGGGCAGCAGACAGAGGGGCCGTGTGGGTTCATTGTACCTCCCCTCACCGGTGTCGTCGCAGATGTTCCTCCCGGTTGGAGGCCTGCTTGGCGCGGATCTCCTCGAGTTCCTTCTCACGGGCCTCGCGCAGCTGCACCCACAAACAGAGAGAGGAGAGGAGATTTAAACACAGACAGGCTGGCAAGGTGAAGTGCGCTGTGCGTCCCACCTCCTCTCTCTGCCTTTGGAGCTCCTCATTGCGTCGACGGATCTCCAAGATCTCCTGCAGGCGGAGATAGATGTACATGGGTGCATCATACCTGGCAAGGCGTGGCGTACGTGTGCCCGTTTCTTGGTCTCATCGATTTTCTTCTGGGCCTTTTTCTCCTCGAGCTTCAGCAGGGCAATCCTGTTGGCGAGCATCAACGCATCCTGCGATCGAGGCAATGCAACGCATGTGCAACACACAGCGCCGTCATTTGTATGTATGTGTGTGTGTGTGTCTGTCCATTTCTTCAGTGCACTTGTCTTGCCTGCTCGGCCCGTTTGCGGTTGACTCTGCTGTGGAAGAGCTGCACGGCCATCTCGTGAGAGATGTCCGTCTCCCCCTCGCCCGCATCATAGGCCATGTCCAGGGGCATCGGCACGCCGTCGCCCTCACCCGTCACGCCGGCCGTCTCATCGCCGCCATCAACCTACAGCCCAAGACGCTGGTGCATACCGTATGCGTAGTGCTTCCTGCCTCGCATACACATGCGCCGTGGAGCGCCGAACAGTAGTGTCTGACTGTGTTGTGTGTGTATCCTGACCTGAGGATCTTGCCCCATGTCAGGATAGGTATCTGCTGCGCCGTACTCAGCCTGCAGACAAACGGAGATAGATAGATAATAGAGCGATAGAGAGAAGGGTCCGGACAAAAGCTAGAACTGATCATGCAAAGCGGCTGTTTTGGTCATCTTTTCCAATCAGGCTTGCTGCCATGCAGACTGTTCACACATCACGCTCTCTGTGCGCATTTCGTACCATGGTCCGCTTGGGTCAGGTACGCGAAGGCAGACTCGGTCCCAACAACTGGAAAAGCGGCCTTCGCGTCTCCCCTGCCCAGCGGCCCCCCGTCTCTTGCACTGGCATGCAAGCTCGCGCGCGCGAAGGTTATGGCGGTTTAGGCAAGATCCCGCCGCACAGCCCCGCGGCTCGGCCTCCTGATCCGTCCGCCGGCCTTTTGTAGTTCATCCATCGCAATTGCCGTGAGATATGATGGACGAGGCGGAGCTGGATGAGTTCGGGTACGAGATCGGCGACGAGGGTCGTCTGGGGAAGCTCAAGAAGGACCTGTGGTTCAGTATCGATGGGATCGGGCAGTCGGTGGTCAACAAGGAGGGCAAGACGACCAAGGACCGCGACTTTGTGGTGGGCCTGACGAGCAAGGGCGAGCAGCTGGACCCCAAGGAGGTGGAGAACTGCCTCAAGGACGTCCTCCGCTTCCTCAAACGAGATGACGACACCGAGATGTGGGTGCACCTCTGGTGCAACAAACTACTGGTCAGCTCACAATACCGCCACCAGCAGCAGCAGCAGCACACTCCATCCATCCATCCATCCATCTGTCTGTCTGTCTGTCTGCCGGTGTGGTGTGGTGTGTTTGTGGTCCATCCGTTCAGTTGGTGCGGAATCGTTTGGTGCCGTTGGTGCGCTCCTTGGGTGGCCACGAGGATGACATCAAACTCTTCTACCAGGTGGTGAGGATCCTGGTGGAGCTCACCGTCTCACCCGAGAGCGGCCACCCCAGAAGGCACGAACTCCTGCAGGCGCTCCGGGTCAGCCGGCGGGTGGGAAGGGAATGAAAAGACCCATCCACAAGTCCCTCTCTGTACTCACACGGGTGTGGGTGTGGGTGTGGGTTTGGCGTGTGTGCAGGAGACCAAGAGGGAGTTGCTGGATCCGCGTGTGTTCCGAACGATGAACAAACAGATACTCCACGCCTTCGCCACCCTGGAGAAATCCCCACCAGCGTGAGTACAAACACACCACACCACACAGACGTACCTCACCTTAAAGGCAGGATGTATCGTGTTCTGTCGTTGGTGTGTCTGTTGTCATATTGGTCCATCCATCCATCCATCCATCAGTGACGATGCCGACCAGCAGCCCTCCCCCGACCAGCAGCAGCAGGAGCAGCAGGAGCAGGAGCAGCAGCAGCAGCAGCCTCCTGATGCGGCGGCTGACGGGGCAGCAGCTGACGGCGCCACAACCGAGGAGATCGCAAAGAAAAAGGCGGAGGAGGAGCGGAAGAAACGAGAAATCCAAAAGCAGAAGGCCAAAGCACGAAAGAAGTCAGTGGGCAGTGGGACCGGCCGCACCGGACTAAGGGGCTAGAATGGCGATGTTTCGGTGTTGTGCGTGTGCTGTAGGCGTGAGCAGGACAACGGGCGTGCCAAGAGCATCATCCTTTTCTCGATCGGTCTGCTGCGCAACCTGGGCAAGATCCCTGACCCGATGCCCGTGCAGGGGATCCTCAGCGACATGAACTCCAAGCTCACCATTCGGCTGCTGGGGCTGTGGGTCGAGGTGGGTGTGAGAGAGAAGACCACACACACACAAGACCACCGCGCACACGTGTGTGGGGGTGGTCGTGGATGTGTGTGTTGTGTCTGTCTGTGTGCTACGCTACAGGAGGGTGTGTTGGAGCAACTGCAGGACTTCTTCCTGCAGCGGACGGACAGCGACGAGCAGAAGCTGCGTTGCTACAACTACGTGTTTTGCGGCGACGACGGCGACCTGCAGGAGAGACTGTACTACCTCCTGCACGAGTTCTACTGCTACGCCCTCACCTCCATCGACGTACAGTCCATATTCAACGCACTCGAACAGGCACGCGCAGCCATGCATGCCACACACCACACCGGACACACCCACCAAGACCCTCCCTCTACCCATGCCCAGTCCAGTGTCCCTCCCTCTTTGTCTGCATGTGTCAGTGGGAGAGGTCCCCATTGTCTGGGAGGAAGGATGGCGACGCCAACAGAGGGAGGGAGCGGGGGCGCGGTGACAGGTCGGATGCGGCGTCGGTGGCCGCCTCCATCGCGCCCTCCACCGTCCTGCACGCCTCCTCCACCCGCCCACGCTTCAGGAAGCCGCCGCCCAAGGCACCCGAAATACCCTTTGGCATCAGAATCGCCCACGAGAGTACGTGACCTGTGACGCAGACAGACGAGGGATGCAGGGAGGGAGGGAGGGGGGGAGGGAGGGGGG